CTCGAAGGAGAATCAGTTTGGTGTCTTCTTTCCCCTCACTCGTGGGAGGCCCGCTGTAACTGCGTGAATGTTACAGTTATATCTACCCTGAATTTCTTTAATATTAAGGATTCAAAACAATTAACAGCTTCCTAGGCAGAATTCAAAATAGGTGTCACTTGCATATCATGGTTTATGGCTTACCATTCAAACCATAATTAAAACCATATGCATAAGAAGAGCCTATATTGAAACTCTTAAAATTAACAACACTGATGGAACAACGATGGGTTAGTGCAATGTGTGTGTGTGAGAGAGAGAGAAAGAAAGAGAAAGGAAAAGAGATGCACTTGCCTGAGATAGGATTTATTTCAAACAGCCCATAATAGGCATCTACAACAAAAAGTGTATTGTTTGGTCCAACATGGATTCCAAGTGGTCTCCCACATGTAGGCTCATCTTCTCTTGTACCTTTCAGAAACACAAATAGATTTAAAGTATGCAGCTTCTAAACAAAGCTTTCTATTGTGCTTCCAAAAAAGAATATTAATAATCTTGAATCTGAACAATGAAAGATAAAATCTTTGAACATTCAAAAACACCTCTGCTTCGATTTATATCCTTTTCCTCCACATTATTAAATATTTATAAAATTCATATTATGATGTGATTAAAAACAACATTGGATCTTATGAGATTTGAAGGGATGGGCAATACATGGCCTTCCAGATTCTGGAATGCAACTCTTATAATCTCTCTTTGCTGACCAAGTTGGTTAAGTCTGAAGGGAACTGGAGTTCAGTAACACCTGGAGAACCATTCACTGCCCATCCCTGTATATATACTAATAGATTTACTCTAACGTAAGGTAGACAGACGTTTATAGTCAATACATCTGATTTCATCTTGTACTAGATTCTGATGTGCATTTATAATTGGTGCTTTTTAAATTGTTTTTCACATGTTAAATGAAGCTAAACACATAATAATGGATAATGGTATAGGGTTATACCATTAGCACAGTACTTAATGAACTTAACCAGAAATATGATCAAAATTTTATTCCATAGGAACAGTACTACCTTGCTTTTATTCACTTTAAAAGGACTTTATTAACCAAATGTCCTCACGTCTTCTACAGCCACACACCCAAAAGTACTATTCCAAAAGGCACGAATTGCATATCATGAAATAAATTTTCATATATTTAAGAGCGTTCAAGGGAAGATATGCAAGACTGAAATGGTTTTCTACACAAGTCAAATCATAGTACAAAAGCAACAACAAAATAACAGTGTTTGCTTACCACAAGGACCATGGCCAAGTCGAGCTAAAGTGCGAATTTCCCCATTTTCAATCTTCAGAATTTTCCCATCAGCAGTACCAGTAAACAGCACATCTATGAGACAAGCGCTGACATGAGCTACGTATGTGTTTTGACTCACAAGGCTTATGTAAGACTTCAGAATATCAAAAATGCTTTCTACACACAGATATGTCACAAAACCTTCAAAGAGCAAAACTAAAGTTTGTCTTCCATGATGTCTGTATTAGATGTTTTAAAATCAGAGTTAACTTGGACCATCACTGAAATGCATCTGCCTCCATCAGCAATAAACTTTATTTATTTATTTATTTTAGGCCATCCTGTTCATAGACTCTGGGTGGAAAGCAACAATTCCAAATAAATTAACATTAAAACAACAATATAAGGAACAATAAATAATCAATGATGGTTGCCTGAACACCAAGGGCCAAAGTTCACTGGAACAGTTCCAGTACAACTTGCTTCCAGAAAGGAAGGAGGGTTCAGGCTTCCCATGCTTCCAGGGGAAACATACTGAGTCAGGGCTGCTACTAAGAAGGCCTGTCACTTGGTCCACACCCCACATACCTCCCAAGAAGGGTAGACCTTTAACAGAACCTCCCTAGATATCTATAAGGAATGGGCACATTCAATTTTGGCAAGGTGCTGCCTGATACTATTAAGGGCTTTATGACCTTTAACAGCACTATGAATTGGGCTGGAAACCTATTGCAGTAACTTCAAAATCAATGGCAGTCTACACTGACAGGATTTATTGATATCCTTCTTCTATTTATATACTACCTAATCAACTAGAGACTCACGGCAGTTTACAATAATAATCAACAGTAAAACATCCACATATACTGTGTCTTGCCACTACATTTTGTATCAGCTGCAACTTTTGGGTTGTTACCAAAGACTGCCCCACATAGAGATGATAATCAAGGAACAAATTCACATATAAAGACATAAAAACTTTATAGCAGTATATGCAAAATGTTTCATACATGGAACAGCAAGTCTCAAATAGCCTGTTTGGACCAAAGCATGAGCATCTTTAATTTTATCAGATGATTATACCTTGTCACTTTGATGGCTATTGTCACAGATTTCTAAAAATAACTGTCTTAGCTCTATTGAAATTGCTGGGAAGACTATTGAGAAATTGCTAGCTTCCCACAAAACAGCATAACACATGTTGTTATACTCTAAAAGACAACGACAATTACTCTTTCTTAATTTTCTCTTTTCTAAGCTAACCATATCTACTTCTTTTAACCCTTTTTCAAATAACCAAATCATCCTGCAGTGGAGGGTGGCATGCTAGAGGTATCAAACCTTCTCTTCTGATAACTCCCCTGGTTTCTCCTGGCATCATCTGTTATCCTGGAGTAGCAGCTTAGTAGTTTCCACTGCCACTGCTTTTCTTCCAAGGACTGCCTCACCTGGCATCCCCCTCCCCACAACCACAGTGCATGAAACAGGTAGGGTTTTCACCACCTGGGCTGCCTTCTGGCAAGGTAAAACTAGAAGGAAAATGTCTATATTGCAGCCTCTTCACCTTGTAGTGGGAAGACATGGGATTAGGACGTTCAGCTCTTTATTCAAGAACAGAGAAACAGAAGGTTTATTACTTTAAGAAGAAAATATGTAAGAGAACATGCAATGTTCCAGACAGATTACAAGATGAAAAAGGACAAATATCTAATACAGTTTTCTGGCTAAATGTCTTTACCTGTTCCTTAGAAATAAACAGATTCTTGAAGCAAAAGTCCTCTGCTTACTTTCCTGGACTTTTCCAGGAAAATAGGTGAAATTAGTTTATTGATATCTATAGGAGTTTTACATTTTGTAAAAAAAAACAAAAAACGCTACTTTAATTTGCTGAGAATTTAGAACACAATTTAAGATGAATTTTAAAAAATGATAGATTTAGAATCTATATATACATTTCTGTGTATATCATAATAAAATGCACGCTACTATGAGGCTTGATTAATTTAAATCTAAAAGCCAAAAGATCACTAAGTTTCCCACCCTTTCAGTAACTTTTTCTGGCATATTGTAGTCAAAATTCAGTTTTAGAAGCATGAAGCTTATTGGGTTCATAATTAGCAGAAATCAGAAACCTGTGTCAGGGAAAAAACCACGTTAAACACGGGAGGCAGACA